TATCATTAGTACATTGATCATTCCCATTTTATCGGGGAAGTATAAACAACTGAGGGATCATGGGGTGTGGGATCCAATTCTTAGGAGTGTTTTGTATACATGATTCAAGGACACATGTAGTTATTTCGGTCCTCGTATATTTACATTGTTTATCCTTTACATTTACATAAGTTTATCCTCTCTTTAGTTTATTTATTTATATTTACATCGGAGTTTAAGGCAATGTTTAATTGGTTTGTGATTTATTTATTTATTCTTTTAGTTTTAACTGTCAGAAGGTGAACTTACTTTGCTAATTCCTCCTGTATGACATCTCATTTTTTCCCTTTTATTTAATACTTTATACTCCATGGTATGGACCTGTAAAATAGCACCAGGAAAAGAAAATGTAGGACTTCTTTTTAAGAAAATAAAACAAATGAGCAGATCTTGGAGAAGGAGAGAAAAAAAATCTTGTTACATATAAACAAACGCAAACACGTTTCATTTGAAAATCTATTACAGTGCACTTATGCAGCAGGATGGATATAATTCAAAGCGGTTAAGGTATTTTAAGCTGTATGGACTAAGGCGTTAGGGGCGAAATTCAAGGAAGGTGCGGAACACAGAAAGCAACATGTAGATGAACCTATAAGCTTATAAAAAGGACGATAAAAAGACAAGAGTAGATAAAGTGAAAAAGAAGTAAATAGACGAACACATAACGAAGAGTACCCCCTCCCTACACACGCATACGCACACATACACAAATAAATACATACATATACTAAGCAACAGACAGACATATAGTTAAAAAATCATCCAGTAAAAAAAAAAAAAAAAAAAAAGCATTAGGAAATTCCATAACTAAACTACAACCAACACTTATTACATGCAACATTTCCGACTGACAACCCGTATTAAAAAGACGGTGAATGATGATATAAAAATAACTAGAAAATAATGTTAAACTATGCCGTGATTAAAATGATAATGGGTATTTTAAAGAAATCTGGAATCTAATGCCCTTAATTCCATTTGTGTAAGCGAAAAAATATTATCATTATTATCAATATTATGCTCATTATTATTACTATCACTATCATTATCATCACTATTATCATTATCATATCTGTAACATTATCTTTACATTTATAATTATCACCATCATTATTATCAACACATCTGTTATCAGAATACCCATAATCATTACCGTTATCAACAATATATGTATCATTCTGTACACAAATAATGGATATCCATTGATAGAATTATATATATATATATATATATATATATATATATATATATATATATATATATATATATTATATATATATATATATATATGTATATATATGTATATATATACATATATATATATATATATATATATATATATATATATATATATATATATATATATATATATATATATATATATATATATATATATATATATATATATATATATATATTGTACGATTTGATTGATACTATTGACATGACTTCATAGAAAAAATGTTTGAGAATCTTAAAGGAAATTCGAATGTAATTTAGGAAAAATAAGACTGAATAAAAACTAAATTCGGTTAATATTCAAATCTTAACCGAAGACGATAGCATAAAAGCAAAATGAAATAGTTAATTTTGTTTTATTTTTCTGTTCTGTTTTAATGAATGAATTAAAGTAAACATGAAACGAAGAAGATAAACAATATCCTAAAACATATACCATGCGATAAGGAGGTCAAATGAGGGTTAAAACACACATACGCGGGCATGATAAAAAAAAAAAAAAATCAACATAACCCAATATACCCAACGAGCAGCGACATATCGGGCATATCTATCATAATGAAACATTTTTCAACATACACCAACATGACCGAGCATACCCAATATAAACCAACACAGACCAACATACAGAACACCAACCAATAAAAGATATAGAAAAAGCACGACAGGGGCACGGGGGCAGCGTGCTATACCCAACATACACGTACATACACAACATACCCAACACACCTCAACATACCCCAGCCTGAACACAAAACACCTGGAATCTACATACCCAACATACACCAATACACATACAAACCCACCAACATGCCCCAACATACCCCTACATACAAAACACCAATAGAAAAAAAGAAAAAAAAAAGCATCAAGGACCTGAAATCTACATACCCAACACACACCAACATGCACATACAAACCCACCAACATGCCCCAACATACCCCAACATACAAAACACCAATAGAAAAAAAAAGAAAAAAAAAAGCATCACGGACCTGAAATCTACATACCCAACACACACCAACATACACATCCAAACCCACCAACATACCCCAACATACAAAACACCAAGAATAAAATAAAGAAAAAAAAAGTATCACGGACCTGAAATCTAAATACCCAACATACACATCCAAATCTACACATCCAACACACACCAACATACCCCAACATACAAAACACCAAGAATAAAAACAAAGAAAAAAGCAGTTTTACGTACCT